TTGTATGGCATTTAGAAAATATTTCCCAGAAGCGGGAATTAGATCTTTATCCCTGTCCAAGCTGGATGAGAACCTTGTGGTAATTAAACTGGTGAGGTCTTGTAGGGCTTCTGTGAAGGAGGATAGTGTGATTTATTCTGTTAAGAAGAAAACCTTCTGTTCCCTCACCTGTGAGGTCCTGCGACGGTGTGGTGTGGTACCATTTGGGAGTGAAGTATTTATTTTAAACCCCTCAATGGTGTACTTTGTGGTTGCGTATAAGCTGAATATCGTCTTCTCTGGCTAGATGCCAAAAGGAAAAGACTAATTTATTATACTTGACGTTAAGAATAAGCAATTATTAACATCACACTGTTTTAACAAGTCCTAGGATTAAGGAGAACAAAATAAAAAGAAATCCAATAAAGATGTTTTCTGCATGCAATTAATGTTAATTTCACTGGAACAAAAATTTGGCACTCTGTATATGTGTATCAAGTACAACATTCCAGTTTTGCTTTTTTGGCAATTTATCTAAAAAAAAAAAGCAGATCAGGCCATTACATCTAAATATAGATGATAGGAGAGATGATTATCCTAGTGTATCTATAGGGTACAACATTGGTCCCAAAAGCAGTCAGATAGCCAGACTCTGTGCAGTAGATCTTCCAATTGACAATCAAATATAGTATCAATTTGTTGTCTTCACTGATTCTAACTATGTTCGCAACAGTTTTGTTGAATATCTGGATAAAGCTGGAAATGTAACCAAATGCTGAAAAGTAATAAGAAACCTTAGGATCAAGGATTTTTAAACCTTTGTAAATATAGGAATGACATCTGCCTTCTTTCAATCCTCCGGTACTATTCCTAAAACAAAAGAATTTTAAAAGATTAAATACAGAGGTTTACTTATGTGGTGGACCGCCTGGTACCCTAACTTGGTACCTCTGCCAAGCATGCTTCCTAATTATTGCCAGGACACCAAAAGCACTTTCCGCCCCTAGATGCCACAGCTTGACTGGGGTCTCGCAGTTGCTTCCCACCCTGGACCAGGGTCCAGCTCCCAGTGGTCAAAGCTCTCCTACAGATAAAGTCGCTGTATAGTAAATTCGCAAGAGTGTCCGATTTGGGTTCCATGCACTCGACGACACCGCGGCCTGCGTTCGTGCGAAACAAGATGACTGCCAACTCAGCTCCTACGTGTTCATGCATACGAACGGTGGCCACCCAGCCGAACACTTAGAATCC